ACTACTCGGTGCTCTTGGTATCGCATGAATGGTTGTAGGTTCGTCGCTGCTGTTGGCCTCTGGGTCTGCTTCCTCGGAGAGCAGCACGCTCTGTTGAAGCTCGTCCTCCATCGCTTGCGCATTCGCCATTGCGCTCCTGATACTCTAGAGCAAGTGCACGAAGCATTCGATGGGAAATCAGGCATATCGGTTGACAGAAAGCGAATGCGACGGGGTGTGGGATAACAACAATGCCTAGGTCGCGCGCATTGTGGTAGATCGCGTGCTACTGAACCCTGGACAACGTGCTGGTAACAGATGGACAAGTTAAGAGTTAAATAGAAAAAGTCCCAAGCATATACTGGTCGAATATCTCAACGCATCTGGTGAGCAAAGCTCACTCAACCGGCTGCACCTGATGATGAGAACCAGTCGCGTCTTTCAAACTTGGCCGAACCGCGGATGGTAGGAGCACAGTGTGGGCGCAACACCACCAGCGAGTTTTAGTGCGGAGTTGGCCGCCGCCGCACAGTGCCACTACGCTTTTGGCAAGGGCGCATCCTTCACAACATGTCCCCTTGTGGCCTCAGGCAGCAAAGCCTTAATTATCCTCGGACATCCAGATAGATGCCATTACGACGAGATAGGTCAGCAACTTGGCAGCACCGAATCCCTTCACATCTGTCCGATCGCGAACGAACAAATACCTCTTCGATTCGAGCCTATCCATAGGACCAAGCCAGCCCAAATCCCCGAATTAAGACCGCATTGCGGCGACGAAGCAACCATGCCGATTCCTTTCGAGACACTTTTGCCCTACGGCATCATGATTGTCGTACGTACGATAATAATCCAATTGAGCCTGACGCCTCAAGCTCATTAGATTCTAGATGTTCGGAGCCACTGGTACGGGTCTTGCAGCTCTAAAGACGTGGCACAACGAGGGCAAGGCCCCACGATACTCTCTTGACCAGTGGGACAGGGTATGATGCTTTCAATTGATTTCAGTTTCAGACACATGCTGACTTTTAATCTAATAGCAAAGTACGGCCTTATTTTGAAGCCCCCAAACCGACTAATAGTGCACGAGCTAATTGGAACAACAGTGCAACAGCGTGACCGTCGGTTGACAGGTTCCATAACCGGACAAGTTGCTCAGGCTGTAGCACCACCCGGCTTTGAGCTAAACAACCCTTGGAAGGTTGGTCTTCTTCTCGCAATCATAATGTTTAGGAACATCTTATGCTGATTCTAACACCCTATGCAGCTTGAGAAGCGTTATTCATAAGGAGCGATGTCGTTGATGGGCACCACTGGCTGTTATCGACGCAACGAAATGGTCCAAGCGCACAAGGAGGCATTGTATATTACGGACTGAGATCCTTAGGTCGTTCACATCAACATGATGAAGAGAATAATTTCATCCGGTACTCATATCTTTCATCATTCTCTCCACCAAGAGTGTGACTAACCTCGCTTGGTGGCGGTTTGAACATCCCATCATATTGCTATGTCTGCTCTATTCTTGTTCAAAGTTTCGAGTAAGGTGCAAGCCTGACACATGGACTGACTTGACATGTATCCGCATTTAATGCATTTCCCTAGGCTTGGCAATGCTCCAGTGGTTGATCCTTTCGTTTGCTTTCTGTGTTTTTCCCGTATGGGTAGCTTGACCACGTCTGAGGGCTCTTCTGGTTTGTTTAACTTGATCTCTGTTTCAAGGTTTTCCATGCGAGAATCCCTTTTGAGTGTTGCCTCTTTCTGAGCTCCAGACCCGCAGCTTCCCATCCCACCATCATCACAAGCACATGAGGCCTGTACTTTGTCTGGTGTTAACTCGCCCATATCTTCGCCACTCCTCACAATGTCGAGGATAGCGCTGGGTCGAACTTTCTCAAGACTCTTGATTAAACTGCGTGCAGTACCGCGAAATGCTTCTGGGCTGTAAATGCACTCGGTACTAAAGTAATCGAGTTTCTTATGATGGGCGTATAGCACGATTTCTTTCTCGTAGGCATACTTTAGAGGCTTGCTCCGCTTGACGTCGCTGAGGGAGTCGCCTGTGACGATGTTGGTGCTTCTCGAAAGACGAGCCAGGTCGCCACGGAGAAGATTCATCAAGACTGTCTCAGCAATGTCATCAGCGTTGTGGCCCGTGACGACATGCTTGATGTCGAGCTTCTTTGCGCCACGATCCAAGGCCTGACGACGAAATACGCCGCAATAGGTGCAGTTGCCCTTCTTACCAATCGTCTCAACGACTTGGTCCATAGTCCACCCATACAACTCACCATAGCCCACAATCTCCAACGGCATTTCGTATTGGGTGGCATTTCGCTTCACTGTTTCAAGGGAATCATCTCTGTAGCCCTTGATACCCTCGTCAACACTCAATAATACCAGATCAAGCTTATAGTCATGGCGCTCGTTCAAAGTCTTTAACACCGACGCCAGCACTGTGGAATCCTTTCCTCCTGATGCACCGATGGCTACCCTTTCTCCTGGATAAAAGAGTTTTGATGAAGTGATGGTATGGTGAATTTCGTCCTCGAAAATAGAAAGGAAGCACTCCCGGCAAAGCTTTTGATGATTTTTTGGCCTCTTGACGACGGCCCGTTGCTCATGGCATCTCACACAGGGTGTGGGAGGCATGTTCAGTTGATAGATGGCGGGGTCCTATTAAAGACCCTTGACACAGATGACTGGGCTCTCTCCCAGTGATCCTGGCTTTCCAGCGAGCAATAACGAACAGGATCTTTCTTCGGGTCTCCTTCGATATGAGAGTTCTAGAATTGTTGTAAATAGGGATCAAGATATTGATTGCAAGCTTACGATTCTACACACACTTTGACAGAACTCTCTTCGCTATGACACAACCACCAGCGGCGGAGGAAACTGACTAATGCAGCGTCGATAACCCGCCACAGTGTGGCTAGGTTGGTCAATTTTTTTTATGTGGGGTCCGCCAGATTTGGAGGTTTGCACCCACCAAGCCCTAATTTTCTTTCCACGACTTGAATATCCACTTATTATTGTCACATTTCTTTCGCTTTGAATTTGTTCAACTCCGTTCATCACAGCATCACAGCTCAACAAACACCGAGCCGCCAAATACCCAAGATGGTGAGTAAATAGACCCTTTCATGGGCTCTAATGGCCACAGTTATATGATTCAGACGCGCAACAGCGCAATTGATTCGGTCAGCTCTGTCGCTTGCGACGAGCGAGACATCCCGCCTCAATGTTCATTACGAACTTGGCGATGACTTGGCTGGAGATATCTGAGGTGCTGAAATACGCCCTATGATATTCTCGTTAGAGTTCAGAGAAGACTTGCATTGCTTGAGCATATCGCTGATGTCTTCTTTTCTCAATGACAGCCTCCCAAATCTGGCAAGAAGGTCGCCCCCGCCCCTTTCCCTCAGGGAAAGGCTGGCTCCAAGAAGGCTCCTAAGGTTAGTTGACGATCTCATGTTTCCCGCACGATACACAGGCATTCGCTCACACGCAACGGCAGAACCCCCTCATCGAGAAGCGCCCCCGCAACTTCGGTGTCGGCCAGGACATCCAGCCCAAGCGCAACGTCTCCCGCATGGTCAAGTGGCCCGAGTACGTCCGCCTCCAGCGCCAGAAGAAGATCCTCCAGATCCGTCTCAAGGTTCCTCCTTCCCTGGCCCAGTTCCAGCACGTTCTCGACAAGAACACCGCCGCCCAGGCCTTCAAGCTCCTCAACAAGTACCGCCCTGAGACCAAGGCCGAGAAGAAGGAGCGTCTCCTCAAGGAGGCTACCGCCATCAAGGATGGCAAGAAGAAGGAGGACGTCAGCAAGAAGCCCTACGCTGTCAAGTACGGTCTGAACCACGTCGTTGGCCTGATCGAGAACAAGAAGGCCTCTCTCGTCCTTATCCCCAACGATGTCGACCCCATCGAGCTCGTTGTCTTCCTTCCTTCCCTCTGCAAGAAGATGGGTGTCCCCTACGCCATCGTCAAGGGCAAGGCCCGTCTCGGTACCGTCGTCCACAAGAAGGTAAGATAAATGTCGCTCGAAAACTAGTCTCTTGACAATCCCGCTGACTTATTTTCCTCCCAGACCGCTGCTGTCCTCGCCCTCACTGAGGTCCGCTCCGAGGACAAGACTGAGTTCTCCAAGCTCGTCTCCGCTATCAAGGATGGCTTCGTTGAGAAGCACGAGCAGGCTCGCCGACAGTGGGGTGGTGGTATCATGGGCGCCAAGGCCCAGGCTAAGATCATCAAGAAGCAGAAGGCTCTTGAGGCTGCCACCAAGATTTAAAATGGTTTAATACCCTTCATGCATTGGGATTCAAGGTTATTGGTGTTTGGTTCAGGGCACGAAAAATTTTATGACTTTCTACAGCCACAAAAGGCGTTTCCCAGCTGCAATTGACCAGGCAGAAATGCGTGATATCACAACCTCCCTAGAGTCCATTCTGTGTTCAGGTACACCGGATATTGTAATGATAAATGTGTTCGTGCATTGAGCCCGCTCGGGTTGCGCCAGGAAGTAATTAAGACAACGAGTAGATGACTGCCCCCAGGGCGAACATGGCGAATTTCAACCCTTTACGTCTTACTCATTGATGAACGACAGCTGTAAAGGAGGCCGATAATTCTACAGGTACTTGTCAGTTTTTGAAACAAACCTGCACTAGCCCTCAGCGATTAATTGGGCCCAATGACCTAGGAACTTGCGTATCCGTCCTGGGCGTGTAATCTACAAGGAGCGAAAGGATGGCAGACTGGTGGTTTCAATCAAGTCAATTCAACTCAACATAGGGCGCATGTCTCTTCACAAACAAGTGCAGATACAAGCTCGTTAAGGGAAAGTTCACTTTCTTCACTCTATCGGGCCTTGCTTCTGAATAAATTTGTCGTCACATTGCCAGCCGGTTGCAAACGCTCTGCCACGTTCGAAAGGGTAGCTAAAGCCCACCGAAAGCTACTGGATCAAAAATCCTCCGCGCTCCATTGCCATCATCGTACACAAATAAAAGCAATTCTCCTCATGATTTAAAGTTCAGCATGAAGAAGTCGTTGCAGATTTGAAACTTTTCCGCATTTTGCTCGGCTGGGACATTCGGGTCAAGCGCGTCTGGGACTTTCAGCTGGAAGGCCTGGCTATAGGCAAAAGAATTGTCCAGACCCAAAGCCTGGATATGGGGCAAGAGTTCCGTAAGTTAGTCTAGGTAAATGGCTTGGGGGTATGTAGAGGGGCTGCGAACCGCGAAGTGCCCAGTGATCATGACGAGGACGAATCCGTCTGTGACTGAGGGCTGTACACGAACGGTGGGTTCGAGGTGCTGGACTTGTTGGAAAGGCAGGCTCTGTTGAGGTTGCAAGACAAAGGTTAACAAGTAGCACAAATATAAACATGGGCGAGAACATGGTCTGGACGCACGTTCAACTTTTCAAAAATGGCACTGGAGCCGACGAAGTTTTCACTCTCGAAGGTGAGCATAGCTTGAGGGTGCTGGTCCAGAGAGTTAGCGACTAATTTTTTCCCCCATGTCTCAGGCCAGGTGCAGTATCGTACATAATACTTGGAAATCGCTGCGCGGTTGTTGTCGTAAGTAGCATTGTAAATCTCGACGAACTTCCCTATCAAATCACAATGTAAATTTTCTGTTCATTGTATGAAAAGCGTGGGAAGCACACGTACCAACGAGGGTCGGGATGTCTATTCACGCGATGTTAGCGGTATTGCGACAGAAGAGGGGCAACGGTAGGTATGTTGGGAGACATACCTGTGGTTGCCATTTTGAAATACTTCGTCTGGATAACCCCAGTACAACGGTTTCAGTGTGATTGATATGGACAGAGCTTGAGGTGATGGTGCACGGCAGAGATCCGGGACTTCAAAGGACGAATACTCCGAAGAAGAGGTTGGAAGAGCAAAGGAGGAAGAGGAGGTGATCGGGCTAAATGGTGGGGTTGAGGGGCACAGTGCAAAAAAAACTTGGGTAAAAAATTGGGCACCAGGGATATTGCAGTGACGCGCTGCGGGAAAACACCAGCCCCAGGCAGTCGTGGCGCAATCCCATTGATTTCCTGCAAGGACATGCATATTTCCTGCATGAATCGGTGCACACGTACATTTCCAGCTTCCATGATCATGGTGCAAGGCATTTTCCTTCCTTATGAGTCAAGAAACCAGCTTCATAATTGCATCTACTATCACTCAGTCTCAAGCAGCTCCGGCCATCAGCACCAGGCACGTTGCCCCTCGTGTGGGCTTGCTCTGGTTTCTATGGTTACAAATCGAGGGCAATCCGCACCGTGGCTACCCCGCTAGTTACATGCTTGGCGGGATGGAGCTGTCTCTTTCGAGGTTATGCAATTAGAGAGCTTTTTTCGCACTAAAGAGGTTCTTGGGACTACATATCACAGCTCCAACTAAAATTTCATGTCAAAACTTTCATCCCATCCATTCCAAGTTCTCGACACCAATGGCTTGCGCGTGGGACGCCGAAATTGTGGTCAATTCCTGAATCTCTTCCACGACGCATCCTCAATTAAGTGTTGCTACTTTTATGGCATCTATCTCAACAAGGTTTGTTCCTCCTCGCCTCGCAGCTTCCCTCAAATCCATGACAATTCACCACCATCTGTATGATGACAAACTACTTCCATTAAGAACGGCCAACTGAATCTCCATGTTGATCCAATCAATTATCAAGCTCAACAGTCTGACATGTCCCCTTTACACTATATTCAATTGCCGCAATATGCTCTACCAGAATGCTGTACTAACTCGGTATTCAAGACGCAGATTTTCTAAAAACGACAGTCTATCATGCCGTCTTCTTGAACGAAACCACACCCCCATCGGTGGCTGGACCCAGATAATTCTCCCAATGGATATCCAGCGACGATACCTTGCCGTCGACGCCAATCTTAAATTGGCCGCCCACAGTGCTGTTCGCTATGGCATCCGCAACGCCCTGCAGCTCTGTATAAATTATCCAGTAGTCACCCGTGACATGATGCAGCCTCATCACGTAGCGCCAAGTAGTTCTAGGTCTGTCTGCCACCAAGATGGTCTCCCCTGGCTTGTCAGGGTGTGGCTCCTCGTGCAATGTAAAAGATCCGTAGCCCGCATCTTTGTAGGTGCCCACGAAGCATCCCGTCTGCAGGCTTGGAGGCAAGGCAGGATTGGGTCTGTCAGGGTAGAGTCTGTCGAGAGCACCTTCGTTGCTCTTAGCGGCTCCGTCCAACATGTCCCTCCAGCTAATTTTGCATGTCACATTAGCTATGGCTCTCGATGCCGTTCGTCGTGAAGCAACTTACTGCTTGTTATAATCGTGTCGATTCGCTTCTGGTAAACCAAGCTTATCATTGATGAGCTTGTAGCAAAGGACATCTTCGGCGGCGTTGGAGCTAAGAAGAGTGTTTCCGAACGCCACGACGCCAAACTTGTGTTCCGGGAGCCAGTATACTTGCGATCCAAAGGCATGCATGCCTCCACTGTGCGCATGGAGGACGTGACCTCTATAGATCGTCCGCTCCCAGCCAAGACCATACATGTTCACATCCTTGGCACCGTTGGGCATGGCACCCACTATCCGTGGTGTTCTGATATCCTTGTGTGTATCCTTCGAGAATGGCGCCTCCTCGTGCAAGAGGCACTTGAGCCACTTGGTGTAATCCAGGACGGTGGACAGCATCGCACCCGCACCACTGATCTCGTTGGTGGCCATCTCCTCAAGAGGGATGTACTTCTCGGCCTTCTTGTCCCAGTGATAACCCAATGCGATGGGTCCGGACTTCTTTGCGTCTTCCGGGCTGAAATAGGTCGAGTTCATGCCGAGCGGTTCCCAGATTTGCTCCTTGAGCACCTCCCCCAAGCCCTTCCCCGCGAGAGTCTCGATGACATGGGACAGCACCACGTACATGATGTTGCAGTACATGAACTTGGTGCGCGGCTCGCCGGTGACTTTGAGGTTCCTCAGGTTGCGAACGACATCTCGGGGCCACAGCTTGTTCCCCTTTTCGTCTTCTCGGTGATTCGCCATGTCGTGGCGGGGCATACCTGTGCGATGGCACACAGCATCTTCAAGATTAAGATTCTGGGTCATCCAGTCATCCTGGAGGATAAAGTCGTCGCGGATGATTGAGGATATTTTGGTAGACCATCCCTTGGACAGAGCCGGGTACTTCTTCTCGGCGATGATGTGAGCGAGAGCGGCCGCAGTAAAGGCCTTGGTCGTTGATGCGCCATACCACACCGTTTCCGGCGTGGCTGGTGTGTCAGGCAGTGACGCGAAGCCATATCCCTACCAACATTAGGGTGAGATTCGCTATTTCAACCATCATGTGTTGTGTCAGGATATAGTTACGCAGGTTAACTATGAGCTCACCTCGGCATAGACCTGATCGCCGTCAATCACTGCAAGTGAGACACCCGGAACCTTCCATTGTTCCAACGTGTCCTTGGCGAATTGGGCAAATTCGTCATTGAATGGACTGGTGCTCTTAGCCGAACGCTGTTCGTCTGAAGATTTCTGCTCGTTTTGTTCCGGTGAGGCCATTGTTCGGCCTGCGAGGTAGCTTACCCAATTGGGTGATCCAGTTGGTTTAGAGTTGGTACGATCAGATAAGATCAGATCAGACACCATCCGGCAGCTGTCACTTTCCAGAACAGGCGATGGGTATTTATATATTCAAATACATTGTCTCATCATCTAACTGAATTTGGCATCAAACTTGCAAAAAAACCCTCTCATTGCCATCTCGGGCACTGGCCGATTGTGCTCCCATCAGCCCCCCGGACGGAGCGTGCGAGCCACGCCGAAGAGGCAGCCCCACGGCCAAGAGCCCCGGAGCTTTCGCTTTTCGATACGAATATACACCCGCCCACCGGAATAGGAGCGATAATCCGACATGTAGGGTTTGGTGCGTATTTAGCCCACAGCTTGTGAGACACTAATTGGACCGCCGGCCCAACCCTGGCGAAAGAGTCACTCGGCCACGGAGGTCACGGACGCCGTCGACGTGCGCCTCTTAGTTGAGCCACCACGACAATGTGATCAAAAGACCCTCTCTACGACTCTCGGGAATCGGTGATGACAATTGCCATTACCCTTCCGATATCTCAGTATCTGGAGCAAAGTCAATATTCAAATCGCACCACCGTCCCTACCAATCAGGTAGGTAGTCTATGTGGGCACTTTGGGTATGTTGCTGCCCTCATTATACCAAGGCCGCTGTTCCTCTGTGTGGATCTGACATAAAGGCCAGACCACTTTCTGTTAGCACAGTCTATGCTTACATTCTGGTAGAGAGAGGTGCTCATAACACAAGAGGAGTTCCTTAGGAAGTTGCCACTCAACTCACACGAACAGTGATATTCAGACCATGCCTTGCACCTCGTGAAACAAGGATACTGATACCACGAAGTTCGAGCTCCGAACTTCGGCCCCCGAATTCATTCACTCAAAGACGAAAAGCTTCACAGAAGAGACAGAAGAGACAGAAACAAAAAAGCATATCATTTCACATGGGGCAAATTGCTCGCCCAGAGGTTTCGCAGCTGTTCGTCGCGGGTTTCAAACCACAGTACGCGAAACAAATTTTCCCTTTCCAAGTTCTATTTGCTTGCACCACGCCAAAGTAGCCTTGTAAACCGTTCTTTCGCCGAGAAATCCATACTCCCCCAGCACCTCCGTCTTTTATTGGCGTTGTACGGGGGGCTGCCGCCACCAAGGCGGTATCAATGACCACAAGCCCAGAATCTCCTCGTGAGATGAGATCTTCCTCGAGATAACCTCTTTGGCATATTCCTACAGCATATCGCGGACTGCAACGTCTAGACCATTCTATTCATCCTTACAGCTCCTCTTCCTCCTCAACCTTGGGTTTTGCTTCAGCAGTGGTGCTAAGGCTAGAGGAAGCTGGTCCAGACACGCCTGATATTACTGATTCTAAAGCAGAACTCATATTTTGTGTTGCGGAGAATCGGTCGCCGAGGCTTGTATGATCAATGCTGGGTCGTTGCTTTTTCAAAGGACTGCCCACAAGCCCTTGGGGAGGCAGGTCGGAGGGTCCTCCAGATGCTGATGGGCCAGGTGCGGTCGTCGACTCTTGCGTAGATGGTTTCGTAGGGGCGTCTGTTGGGATGGTGCTATCAGGTTCGGCTGAGTGTGCCCTTTTAAGCTGAATAATTTGTTAGCTTCTCGCCCTTGTATAAGATCAACTGAACTTACGTGAATCCTGTTCACACCATCAGCAAGCTCCCCTGAGGACTGGGCATCCTCGGGAGCAAGATGGTTCGAATCGATTTTATCATCTGCATCCTCCATCTTGATGATCGCCTCATCATCGTCATCCTCGTCGTCGCTATCTTCGACGAGGGCTCCGTTACTCTTCTTTCGTACTTTTCTCTTGCGAGCAGCCTCCGACTCCTTGTCTCGGAAAGCTGAGAATCCCACAGTCCCGCCCGTCTTCAGCGGTCCAATATTGGAAAAGTCTAGTTGGCCTGAACGCCGCTTCGCAGATCCCGGGGTCGTCTGGGGGCCCTTTGAAGATTGCATAACTCCAAGCTTTTGCAGTTGCTCTGTGAAAAGAAAGTGTTAGCAAATGGAGCATAATAAAAAGCCAATTCAGGAACATACTATCACCACGGTAAAAGAAAGTAAACACGGCATATGGCTTATCGGGGGCATCGATACCCGTCACTGTCTGAGTGCTGATCGTTTTGGGATCGAGCGTCTTCGGTTTCGCAAAACTTGTCGTGTGCTCAACGTCAGCATCGATGTTGCCATTATCCTTGTTTTCGGAGTCCTCGTCGTCTCCATCATGTGCATCAAACTGGGGAGAGTATTCTCCCTTCTTGATCTCTCCGGATGCTAGAACTCGAAACATGGCCACTTTGATCTGACCAGTGGCCTCGGGGGGCTCATCGTCATCAGACGACCAAGAGTCTGAGCCATCATCGACAGCTTCGAGAGGAGACTTGTCGTCGTTTCCATAACGCAGAGTGGCCTTCCTTCCGCTGTCTTCCGAATCTGTCTTCCCCTGGAGGAGAGCCTGCTGGCGTTTCTGGCGTCGCTCGAACTTCTGCCGTCTTCTCTCGAGCTTCCCAGCTACGTCATGGCCCTGCAGGTCCAGACCATTGAGCCAGCGTTCCAGACCAACTTCCCGGAACAGGAACTCGCGCTCAGCGAGCCCACCGCCCTCGGAATCTGGAACTTGCACCCAACGACTATTGACCCAAGTTTCTTCTCCAGGGCGAAGCAGGGTTGCGACCTCTTCCTTCTGTCGACCATCGAAGTAGATGTAGGCGGCTATGGTCTCGTTCTCGGAGTTTGTCATCGGTATATACGGGCTGACAATGCCGGCGAACTTTCCTCGCTCGCCTATAGAGCCAGGGGTGAGGCCGCCGACATACTGAGGTTTGGGGCACGGGTTTGAATCACTCGGTTTCGGTGCGGAATAGGGGATGGCAAGGCCGGGGGTCAGGAGGGTAATGGAGATGGCAAACTTGGCGGGCTCGGGCTTGTTGGATTCGCTGGCTAGTTGAGGCTGAGGTACGGGTATGTAGGTGCTGATGCGTGAGAGTCGCGATTGCTTCTGCATGCCATATTCTGGCAGCGGGGCAGAGCTCGCATGGATGCTCACCGCAATGCCCTTGAAGCAGGGCATCGTGGCGATCGATGGGTGCAAATCTGGCTCAGCAGCCTCAAGTATGAGGCTGTGAGTATTCGTAGAAATTTGTGCGGGTCGGTCGTAGATGATGAGGAAGGCGGTGGCAAGGAGGGAAAGGGTCGGACGGCGAGACAAGCGTGAAGGAGTAGGAAAGTTGTCGGTAACTACCTAATTGTTCCACAGTCTATTTATTCAGAAAAAGGTCAAACCGTCGCTAGCCTTGAGATTCAGCCATGCTGCACAAAGAGAATAGACAACAATACCAGCCACTGAGACTGGGAGTGTTGAATGAGAATCGAGGGCGGGGGCTATATCTCGGATCGGAGAAGAGAAGCTTGGTTCGTGAATATTAGCTGTTTGTTGTGGATCGGAGAGGGGGGAGGTGAGCGGATCTACGCTTGTCACGCAGCTGTTATTACGGGCAATCACAGTTGAGCACCCAGTACATCCCAGCACCAGCGGCAGCAGCAAGGGGCACAGAGCAGGTTCCCAAGATGTGAATGCAGCCACTCATTGTCGTACAGCAGCTCGGATCATCTGATTGATCCGTCCCCAAGTCCAGCTTGCACTGTCTACTTAATCAACCGTTGCCTCTGTTTTCTGAGATTCATCAATTCCTTCTTTGCCCATTCCCGCCCGTAGACATGGAGGGTGGCCCTGGCGGTGGTCGCTGAGCCGACTCCCCAAAGATACTAAGCCAGCCTTGCCTAACTTAGCACGTCGTCGGTAGGAGCAACCGCCCACCGACTTTTCGTGCAGCGATTGAACGGACAAAGCGCTCAAACGGCCAGCGCGAAGAAAAAGCAGACTTTTCACTTTTGAGCTTTGCTTCGTGTTACCACGCCGGCCCACAATTCCCTTCTTTGATACAGCCTGCCGCATGTCTCGTTTCGAGTCTCTACCCAGAAGCCGCAACCAAGATGTACCCACCCTACCAACCTCGCTACATTAGTTTATTAAGCCGGGCGTGATCCACATTCCACCATCAATGTGGGAATGATATCACGAGTAGTCGAGCTATCGATAACAATGGCAGATCAGCCATGTAGGCGCAATTGCCTTGATTATCACGTTGGAGTAAACTTTCGATTGAAACTGGGCGACGGTTTCTGTGTCATCCCGCTCCCAAGGAGGAACGCCCATTGGGCTAACGTTTCTAGTGACATATCCATGACCACGAGGGCAGAATGCCCCTCCCCTGTCTTGTTTCCTGCCATAAAGAAACCGTATATCCTTAAGATCGTGAAACTTATCGTACGTGGTATTCTGCTAATCATGTCCGGGCTAACCAAAGAAAAGAAAAACAAAGGAGAGTAAGACAGAAAGAAAGTGCAGAAGGGAGACAGGTGAGATATCAGAACAGAGATGCTTTTTGATATATACTCGTCTTCAGTGGGCATGTCCATCTAAAAGAACCTCTACCGATTTGTACTCTTTACCTCTATATTTCCAAGATCCAGTGAGTTGATACATTTTCTCCGAGATTTCCAAGTCGTCGGTTATTTGTCTATGCGGTGTGCCACTTTCGGAAGGTGTCCATGACAGTTGTGAAGACAACCAGAAGGATACCACCACCAGGGCCCAAACGGAGGACCTATATTAATGTTAGAACCAAGTCTGTCTTCTGTCTGAAACTGACAAGGTTTGAACTTACCTTGGGGATGAATCCCTTGTAGAGAGCGCCGAAGCCTTCCTCACGAGCCACCGTCAAGATACCAGGCCAGGCCCAGTTGTACTTTGGCACCACACCGAGAACCTTGGGAGTATTCTGGATTCGGCTCTTGACAACATCCATGGGGGTGTTGAGGATTGTTCCGACCGTTCCGCCAACGGATCCGGAAATCAGATCGTTCACCATCTGGCCTCTCTTGTTGTCCGCCTTGGGGAGCAACGATCTGACCTGGAAAATGCAGCCAAAGTATCCTGCGTTCCATAGAATGTGGCGCCACAGGGTACTCTCCAGACCCTGGTAGAGACCAAGAAGGCCGTCGCTCTTAATGGTCTTGGCCACGACGTCGAGAGCACCGTTGTACTTGCCAGCCGAAGCCTTGTCTTGGAGTCGGATCTTGACAAGCTCAAAGGGCACGACGACAAAAGATTCCGTGGCTCCGGCAGAAGCACCGGTAAGCACAGAGAGACCTTGTGTCATCTTCTCGACTCCGAACAGGTTGCGATAGACCTTTCCCCACTCGTCATTGGCAGCAAATTTGGTCGCACGCTTGGGCGCCTCCATCAAAATAGGGGCTGAGATTCCGCGGTAGAGTCGGGAGAATCTGGTGGCCCAACAAGTTAGTATGAGGATGCAGGCTGGCCAAGGGTGCCAGTGGGAGATATAGGATGGAAACATACCCCTCGTTTCGGATGATCTTCTGGAAACAATCGAGCATACCGGTGTATTCGGCTGAAGCGCCTACTCCGGTTTGCAATTGACTAAATTTGTGAGCCGGGGGATCGAGGATGAGCGGTTTCGAGGGAAAGGAAGCATTACACTCGAGTCTTGACGACATCCAAAGGATACCTGCATCATGATTAGCCTCAGTCTACCAATTCAAGTGACCATCCACTCGGCGCGGGGGACTCACATCACAAGAATCTATACACGGAACCCGGTGTCAGTAGGCTCGTATCGTCGGGACAATGTTCCAGGAGCTGCCTACCTCAGAGACACCAGCAATCGCGCCTGAGACCATTAGTGGGGTGATAATGATGAGGATAGGGTAATGGCATTCTTACCTGCGGCGAACTGGTAGACGAAGGGAAGGGGCTTCTCGGTAGACATGATGGGCGATTGCTGGGAATTTGCGACTGGGTGAGGAGAAGCAATTGAAGACCCTTCGTCTGTATATGAATGTGTGTCGCGTGAAGGTGGAAATCCCGAGCAAGCAAGTGGGCGGCGGTATTTTGTGGCACACCTCACTACAGGAAGTTAAGGCCGACAACGGCGATGTGGGGACTAGCGCTCATCAGCCTGTGACCAGGGACGTGCACGAGGCATCAACCGGGAAGATCAGGGGCCTGCTTGCGGCCACACGCAGGCCAGTGATTAACAGCCTGACAGCATCCCTAGCGAATAAGTAACGAAAGCATGGATCAAAATTACAAATCGGGAAAGCCCATGATCACGTACGGGAATGTCTAGTACCTATGGCCTGCTACAGGACAACCCGATTTTCCGAATTTTCCCCACGGTAGGAGCAATGAGGCAGATGAAAACGAGTGATAGTGCTGCTCCCTGAATGCTACCCCGGATTGTCATTAATTACATCTGTAGCTGTCGGAGGAGATAGTTTCCATCTACCCAGGCCCAAAGGGGAAGCCCAAAAGGGAGACATGTGGAAACCATCATCGGTTGACAGGAAGCTGATTGCTCGTGCTAACGGACGCCAGAGGCTGAAGTAATCGACTCAGGTTTCAGGTCTTTCTTCATCAGTGGTATAGGGTAGCCCGATGCGGGGGAAGAAATTCCCCGCGCAATGTCGCATCCTCGAGAACAACTTAGCTCGGATTGTTGGAGTCGAGGAATTGGCCACTTATCGCAGTGCTGGCGACATAATGGCTGAAGGTTACAGACCCAAAACAGTTAGGGGCATACGCGCTTTTACATACATACCTACGTAGGGGAATCTACGTGTCAACAAAGGAACAAATTAAAGGCAATGCCTGTGGCCATGTGCCTGGCCATGTGAACGATGCGGAACCGGGTCTCAGCTGTCCACCACCACGTTGTGGTGGCTTTTCCATCATTGGCTGCCGGATGCCCGGAAATCAATGTATAGGTACAATACGTCGATATCTATGCGCATTCATTATTGCAACAGCAAGGAACATCTGTATATACCTATGGCCGGAAGGGGCTCGATGGCGATACTGGAAGAAGATGAAAGTGTTCGGTTGATGGTGAAACGTAGGCCGAGCAGCGCTTTATTTGCCATGGATGAGGGCACAGGCTTGGATTGCCACTTTGAGGTAGGTAGATTTCATCTCATATCTGGCGCATTTGTGTCTGATATTAAATCCGATTGGAGGTACTGGTACTGTATTTCCGTTCCGGGGTAAACGCATGATGCGCCTTACGCGGTACTTGCAATGTACCTATACTGATTTCCCGGATGTGACGCGCACAGAGCTCCCCCTCCATCGCGGCCAGGGCCCTAAATGTAGGGTCAATCCCAATGTACTTGCCTCCTCTGTCTGCCGTTCAAACCTGGCGACGCATATTACTTCTCCAACCTTCCGCTACCTTACATCCTGTGAAACCGCACGACCGCCCGGCCGAGAGTTCGTACCTTTCCGACATCGAAGTTACCGACTTGAATACTTGCGCCTCCTCGTCATACTAAATTGTGACATCTAACCATCCAACCAAGCTAAAATTCGCTCCATAAGCATTTGGACACTTGAGTCATCGGTCGGCCTTCGCACTACCCTTTCCGACGCGTTCGATCGCACCTTTAAATACGCCGTGTTCTCGCGAGAGCCACAGCTAGGTGCATCTTCGATCGCTTGGAGGACCCCTCTGCTTCAAATCCCATGAGTCACCAGCTGTGGAGGTGCTACTGGGAAAACGATGTCGACGGATTTCGGCGTCTCCTGGCACCTGCCAGCCAAGCTTCCCAAGCCGGGTATAGAACACCTGCGATAGGCCATGACTCCGGTTCCTCAAGTCGGAGCCCTGGTGGCTTTGGGACCTCCCCCAGATCTGTCCCCAAGACTAGGAAAACCTCAGGTTACACACCAACGCCTGGCCGAACGAAAGATGCGACCGCCACCATTGGGCGCCACGAATTGAATAGCCGCGATCATGCTGGTCTGACGATTCTTTTGCGCGCTGCTTTATCTACCGATCCAGCAGCCCGCGAATTTGTCGAAGCCTTGATCGAGCATCCCGCCATCGACTTATACGCGCAGGACCCCGAAAGCGGTTGGAATGCCCTCCATCGATCGCTCTATGCTGGAAACGTATCGATCGCGCGCATTCTATTGAAGAAGGAACGGGAATATCTGACCAGCCATGATCTCAGCTCAGTCAGCAGGGTCGGGATGTTGATCAAAACCAAGGATCATGAGGGAAACAGTCCATTTGACTTGTACAATTCCACGATCGCGACAAGATCTCTCCATCTTGTGCATGAGGAATCTGCATCTGAGAGCGACTCCGAGAGTGGAAACAGCGTTGATGATGGTGTTGATGCGTAAGTGTTAAACGGACTCGTTCTGAGAGTAGCTTTGCTCACATAAGGAATAGATCTGGCCACTCAGTCCAGCCGCCAGTTTGGGGAGATGAAGTATATGTTTTCGGAAGCAATAAGAATCTATCTCTTGGAGTGGGAGATGAGGACGATCGTCAATTTCCGGAGCGCATCCAACTCAGACGCCCAGATGAACTCTTGCGAAAGCTCTATGAAGACCATCTTTCAAGGCGTGGCCTGGAACCTCCCCAGTCCCCCCTTTTAGTAGATGATATTCCTACACAAATACGGAACTGCCCTCTGGTAATCGAAAATGTTGTCATGTCCAAGCTTCATACCGCCATCTTGACTACAGATCCGGTGTCGAACTTGTACATATGTGGTGTGGGACGAGGTGGGCGGCTTGGTCTTGGGGATGAAAACACACAGTTTCGATTTGTTCCCGTGCAAGGTCCTCTCTCCGACAAGAAGATACAAAAGGTCGCACTTGGATTAAACCACACCCTTGCGGTTACAGACGATGGGGAGCTTTGGACATGGGGCCTGAATACCGATTCTCAACTTGGGTACATCCTGCCTCCACCGACCAAGGCTGACGAGGAACCTATGTGTGTAACACCCCGACAAGTGTTTGGTTCACTTAAGAAAGAGGTAATTCTGGGTGTCGCGACGTCGGGTATTCACTCAGTTGCCCACACTGGATCTGCCCTATACTGCTGGGGTCGTAATGTTGGTCAACTCGCGCTGATGGACTCGGATTCTCGATCCTTGGATGTCCAACATACCCCAAGGAAGGTTGGCGCCTCGCTTCTTTCAGCCCCAATCCGGATGGTATCGGCCATTGACAAGGCAACGACTTGTTTGCTGGCTAATAACAGCGTCTGGGTTTTCACCAACTATGGTTATAACCTTGTCAAGTTTCCCGCAGTTGATATGTTCGCAAACTACAACTTAACAGTATCCCACTCCAGTCATTACGAACCAGGTCGTAAGGAGATCCAATATATTGCATCTGGAGGGGATACGATTGCTGCCCTTACAGCATCGGGCGATCTCTTTACAATGCAGGTCAACCAAAAGCTGGAATCAACGCAGCCAGCTGCATCTACGACCAATCCAGTGAAAATCAAGGGTGCGTTGAGTCAGCCCCAATGCATTTGGGATTCAAGAAAAGACGGCGCCGCTTCTGTAAATGTGGGCGAACATGGATCTGTCATCATATGCACGGCATCAGGAGCTGTGTGGAAGAGAGTCAAGCGGTCAAAAGGCAAGGCCGCCGTCTTTGTCGACCAGTCGGGCAAACGAAAGGATTTCAAATTTGAGCGTGTTCCTTATATTACGAACTGCATAATGGCCCGGAGCTCGATATTTGGAGCCTTCGCTGCGGTGAGGAAGGATAGCAAGGTCATGTCCGATCAAATCAAAGTACAGGAACCCTCGCTATGGGATGACTTGAGCGATTTACTGAGCATTTCGGATTTCAAAGCCCAGAATCATGATTCTAACAAGATTCAGAAATCTTGGGATACTGCGATCATGCGGGAACGCGTGGGCAGTGTGACTTATGAAATCCTTCGCTCTTTGGACATAGAAAATGACATGCGTCAGTGGCTTCAGGATCACGCACTGCAGCATGAGAACATGGATATGGAGATTTGCACCTCTTCCCTACCTGATATCAAGATTCCGGTTCATGGCTGGGTACTGGCGGCTCGAAGCCCCGTCCTGCGCTCTACATTTGCGCAATTTCGCAACGGCGAGCTGACCTCACACACGGAGAGTTTTGTATTGGGACAAGGAAACCAACGAACTGTTTTGACACTTTCGGATGTCGACCTGTACACGATTCTAAATCTAGTGCTTTATGCTTACCTTGACATAATCTTACCGGTCTGGAAATATACGCGGGACTCACCGGCAAATGCATTCAGATTTCGTCAGGTTAGAACGGAGCTTATGAAAATTGCAACTCTCCTCGACATGGCCAAACTTGAGTCTGCTTCCCGACTTCAAATTGGGCTTGAGCGTTCCTTGGATACCGATCTCCAGGAAGCGATTAGTGACGACAGCTTTTTTGAAGACGGAGATGTTGTTCTTGAATTAGATGAAGGGGAAGAAGTCATTGCACATAGCCAGCTACTGTGTCAACGATGCCCCTTCTTCGAGGGTATGTTCTTTGGGCGATCTGGAGGTCAGTGGCTCGCAAAGCGACGCGACTCTATGGCACCCGACGCCCGGATCCAAATTGATCTGAGGCATATGGATGCGAACTCATTCCGTTATGTAATGGCCTTCATGTATGGTGATATCGGACCCGAAATTTTTGACGATGTGGCCGCAGCCACTGTCGATGAGTTTTCAGAGCTTGTTTTTGACGTTATGAATATCGCCAACGAGCTCATGCTGGACCGCTTGTCCCAGATTTGTCAATCGTTGATTGGCAAGTTTGTTTCAGCTCGGAATGTCGCTGGTCTTCTCAATGAAATCAGCCCTTGTTCTGTCACGGGTTTCAAGGACACGGGGCTGGAGTATATTTGTCTACAGCTGGAAAATATGCTGGAGAACCATTTTCTTGACGATCTTGATGATGATCTGCTTGTGGAGTTGGATGCGGTCGTTCGTGATAATCAACTCGCTCGATTCCCCATCGTGCGTAGTGGAAGAGCTGAGCTACTTTTGCACGAGAAATATCACGACCTGATCGCAGATATCACCGAGGAGCATGAAATTCGAATTAAGGAATTCGCGTATAAGGCTTCTCAGAGGGATGAAAAGCTGTCATCGTCTTACAAGCAACATCGGTTTGGCAGCCTAGATGAATTGGCTAGCCAATCACCAACCACTGAAAGATCTCGACGCAAGTCTAAAAACGGCCGAAATGAACCGTTTAGCCCAACACTTCGGCCCAAGGTGTCAATGGGTGAGATGATCTTCGACATGGACGAGGACAATTGTTTGACTGTGTCAAACCCGGCATCCCCTGATCTTCAAGGTGTTGATTCGGGGATGGAGTTGGACGTGGAACCCATCTCACAACTGCCAAAATCCTGGCAGAAGCCTAGGGGCAGTCCTTCATTTGAGCCTGCCACCAACTCGCTGAAGAATGCCTTCGTCCCGGATGCAAGACCTCGAGGGCTAGGACAAGGTGGCAGCAACACACCTCCTGTGCCCGGCCCCACTGGAAAAGGTACTGGCAGCCCATGGGGTGCTACCTCTTTTTCAAAGCCAGGCTTTGATCTGAAAGACATCATGACAGAGACAAAGTCAACATCTGCCCTCAGCGCAGGGTTGGCTTCACCAGAGTCGAAGGATTCCAATAAGCCACAGGCAAAATTATCACAGAAGGAGAGAAAGAAGCAGATGCAGATGCAAGCAGTTGCGCAGGCTGCCGAACAAGAAAGCAAGGTCAACCATGTGCCTTGGGAAACTGTCCCTACTGGGGGTCGGCAAGCGGCTTGGAAGAGTGCTGCCCCCCCTCCGAAGGCATCGCTCAAGGATGCTATGCGATCTGACACTGTAGCCCGAGGAGCTGCGGTAGCTGCGAATAACAAGCCGCTCCTAGCCTCCGAAGCTGTCTCCAATCAGTCGAGGGTGCGAACAGCGTCTCCTGACACAAGATTCCCAGGCCAAGGACGAACAAATGGTTCGCCGTCAACTCCTGGCACACCGGGCTCCAAAACAAGCCAAAAGCCCGTGGTCCCTCACTCGAAATCATACATCACCCCAGCCTCCAAATCAGAGTTTATCTTGGGGACTAGCATGGCTGATATCATCGGACAACAGAGGCGAGAGCAGGAGCTTGTCAAAGAAGCCGTGGCTAAGCGCTCATTGCAAGAAATTCAACAAGAACAGGCATTCCAGGAGTGGTGGGACCAGGAAAGTCGACGAGCACAAGAAGAAGAGGCCAGGCGTCAAACAAGAGGGGAAAAGCAGGACCCTAAGCCTGGTCAACGTGGACGAAGAGGTCGAGGGGGAGGCAAGGGCCGGTCAAATGACGCGGCATCTGCCAAACCACAGGCTGAAGGGGCTTCACACAATCGGGATGGTGGGACACCACGGAAAGGCAAAGGCGTTCGGGGAAAGTAGTATGTATACAGGCTTGGTTTTGCTGCATCAACGTTTATCATATAGACCGGAGTTATGGCGGCAGTCGACAACGACGTGGAACTTGTGTTATTTATGTTGCTTTTGTCTTTTTTATTACTGGGGAGGCCATATATCATATCCACGCATAGATAGAATGGGTAAGGGGTTTTCATCCTGAACCGTCCGTTTGGGGCTTCCCAGTAAACCACACCATCATGTGGCTGCAGGCCAGCCAGTTGATCCTCCCACCTTGATGCTCATGCATTTCCTGTCGTCAAGGCGGAATGCAGTGTTGATTCTGATTAGCACAGGAAGTGCGGGCACCCTGTTCACCCTCCTGTCACAGTGCCGCAACTTGTTCGCTTGGAGGCACATGGATGCCAGCCAATGATTGGATCTTTTGTTTTGCTCGAGGCCGTGGGGGTAGCCAGTCTTACAGAGGACTAGGTGACCCGAACCATTCCTGAACCTGCCCGTGACGAAGATTTGCGATGGCACCATCTTGGTCTTAGTGCCCTCGCCGCTTTTTCTCCTTCGACTGGCTTGATGAGCTAGAATAATATCTAAGCTGGGGAAATTTCCTTCTTTCTCTGAGGTTAGAATAAAGTGAGCACCATCTGGGTAAAAATCGCTTGATGGTGAATAGGCGATCAAGGCACGACGTTGCCTATCCGCGGTGTAAGGCATGCGTGGTCGAAGTTACTACCTAGACATCTAGATCAACTCTAACGGTATGGACCAAGAGAGTATCGTTCACTTTTAGAAGGGCTAGCACCGTCCTCAAGAGAAGCAATATAGATGAGCAGCTCTAGAGATATGTTGGATTTTTAATCTGGCATTCGTTGCGCCTCCTAAGTTATTGTTGGGGTGGGTACATAGAATTGCGGCTTCTGTCTAGCAATCTCCTAGTGTAAAGAGGATATACCTATATATAAGTTTTCTACAATGATTCGAGGTACTTTCGGCCTTGGACATCACTTCGGCTTTAGATTCCTATGGATTGAATCTGTTCGTATTATACAGAACTCGGATGAAGACTGGGCTAGAGAAGCAGCCAAGAGGACGCAGTAAGTGCAACCTTTTTTAACAGGCGCCAGCAATAATGAGAATGGAAAATTTCAGTAAGGAACCCGTGTATATGTGCTGAGTGCAGGTTCGTTGACAACTATCCATCCAATGGTGGTGAGTTGTCGATGTCACGCCCCGCCCCGAACTACGAAGGCTCAGATCCCGCGGCATTCTGATATGGGAATACCGAACGCATACGGTCGGTGAGGTTGCCTGTTGAATAAGAGATTATGTGTCTTTCAATGATTTTATGGTAGTCTTCACATGTTGTCTTTAGATGGTGTTTTAAACATAGTCATTAATATTTCCCTAGCCTTAGCAGTCGAGATGTCTAGGTAAGGTTGGTCTTTTAGGATACAACGATTTGCATGTAAGTCCCTATGCACCGCTATTTTAGAATATGTAGTTGAATTATTGGATTATCTATCAATAAATGAACTATTGCTGAGGCTGTTCTGTATCCTGCGGTAGTGTCTCGTTCACATCGTAGATAGGCGTAGTTGCTCCGGCTCAACAAGGTGGAGCTGACTCTGTGAACAAAAGCAGCGCTGCTGCCCGGGGAATCTCAACACTTTGATGACAATGGATCCATCCTGACGAGTCCGCCGTGGTCTTATCAGCAGGCAGACGCCTAAGCCGGCTGGTGGGTTCGACGCGAACCGGTGATCATCACTCGTCCGCTGTACCGACATACCTGCTATTTTCGTATCAGACCCATCTTGGTCGAAAAGGGGATTCCGATTCCATGCCTGCTTCCCTCTCGAGTAATCACAGGAACGAAAACGGCCCTGTGCATGCAACCCGAATGTCGCCCACGTGATGGAGCGATTTGCTCCCTGCTGCGACGTACTTGGTTGGTACATGTAGGTTGTAGACACCAGCTGGCTGGAGCACAAGGCACAAGGCCGCCTCGCTGCCTGAGGCCTGGCGCGGTGCCCTGATGTCTGCCCACGGGTGGGTTGCGCAGGCTGGTTTGAGGGGCATGGCGCTAAGCCCAGCAGCATCAGGGGAGCAGCACAGGGGAGCGAACCGGGGTAAGCGCAGAGTACCGCCTCCTCATTGGCCGATATGCACTGTTTGGCTTACCATGACATACGCCATACATTATCAGCAAGCAGGTAGCCGGCCAAGGCGCCCGCGACTTAACCTCTCGTGAACCGTCCCTCTGCCCTCGCACAGCCATCAGGGTTCGCTACTCGCTGCATGTTTGTGTCCCCAGGTGGGCTTTCTGCGCTTCAGTCTTCCATCTAGAGCTGGTTTTTCTCGAGGGAGCCGGTCTGCCCTGGCACTTGGATCTTAGAGATAAGGCGTCATAATGGACGAACATGTCCGATCCCGGCTTGCCTGATCGATCACGAAACCGACGATCACTTCAACGCTGTATTCGCATCTCCGACAGTCCCAATCAGAAGAGTATTTACATCCGAACCCAACAACAAACCGACTGCCACATATACATATCATGCATCAGCAGCCCCGGGCCCCCCCGCGGGTCTCCTCCCTTACGGCGTCGCCCCAACTCAACCAGTACCGAAATAATGCTTCACGAGACAGCGCGATGGGCGCCAGTCGCTCACGAGCCGGATCTACAGTTTCCGGGAGAGATACTGTGGCCTCGCCAACTCTAGAAATTCCCCAATCACCACTCCAGATGCTGCCAGCAGAGTCGGTCAAGAAGTTGGATCAGATAATTCAGGTAGGCGACTCTGCTTTTGACGACTCAGCCTAGGGATGAGAGGCCTCCATTTCTGACGCGAAGAGATGTAGAACTTCTTTATCAAGGTTGCAACCCTTGTGATCGACTCGAGAATAAAGGTCAAACCTAGCCGAGGTGCCAACAGCCAGCGGAAGACGAGCAAATGGGTAATCTCCCTTCATAACTACAACAGCGAAGGCGATCTCTCTGCTAACAGATCCCTCAAGTTCCAAATCGAGACCGACGAGTTCGAAGACTTCAAAGAGGAGCTCAAGACCTGGAAACCTACGGGAAACCTCGAGACCCTTCCACCTCCGTTGACGGTTGAGATTTATTTAGACACATCCTCGTTGAAGGACAGCCAGAGCCTGACGATTGTGGATGAAGATGGAAAAAGATGGGATGTCATGGAACAGCTGAATGCAGCAGATATTTCTACCGGAAGTCGCTCATCGGGCACACCTGGAAAGATTACCGAGGTGATACTGGAGAGATGGCGGGTCGAGCTCGAGCCGAATGGCAGTTTTCCTACCGATGACTTTGGGCCCATCCTTCCCACTGTTTACAAGAAGGCCATCGTCTTCTTTAGATCTCTTTTTACAGCAACGAGACTTTTCCCAGCCTGGAAGTTTGCGAGCCAGGGCTTGGCTCGGAACTCCCTCCCTGCACTGATTCCTCGCTGTCGCATTCGAGCTTCTGAGGGTCCAGCTGCAGGCCCGGACCTCCTCAGATATCCAGTTATGGGAAGATCAGAACCGGTGACGGACTACGTATTTGGTGACCTCGAGACCCCTGTCGGTCGTTTAAAAACTTCGGTCACATATCGCAATGACTGCAGCTTCCGTGTTGATGATTCGGAGGCGCTGTTAAGTTCTCGCTTCATGGGAATTGATGAAGACTTCTTCAAGCCTTCCTTGACTCAACGGAATCGGGGTAGTGGACAACAACAGACGACGCAAATCGGGTCACTCCAAAGCGACCGGCCTGAACCCTTGTCAAATATCGGCCAGACCTATGGCAGCTTGTCGACGTTCCACGGAGATGGGCCCTTGGGTACAAGTCCCATCTCAGCGCTGAAGGCGGTCAAATCACCAGGATCAGCATCGAGCTCACCACCTGCTTCGTTTTCTCCTCAACCCGGCATCGAGCCACCCAATTCTCTGCCTATTACAAGCCATGCTTCGGCAGCCAGGCCGGGTCGAAAAGGAGACAATGAACATGGAAGGCGGCCGTCTATTTCATTCCAACCGTTCAAGGCCGGATCCTTGTCTGGATCTCCAGTCCCAAGGCAGGGCGACGCTGAGGCTCTTGCTTCATCCCACACTTCCTCCCGCTTGAGCGGGGTTCCGTCTCTGTCACAACCTCGCAACCGTACGTCGCTTACCGCTGGAATGCCTGCCTCCTTACGAGGCGGCCCGCCGCCACAATCCACGGAACCGCTCGGCTCCTCACCACGTACCAATTCTGTCAGTCGCTACAGTAGCAGCTTCACTCACCGACGTGGCCGCTTGTCCATCAGCGGCGCAAATAGGCCTGTGGATGACGAGCAAGGAAGCAGTGGACGGCAGAGCCTTGCTTCATCAATAGCCCAGCCAGGCTCAGGTCTTTTGGCCGAGCCCGGCACTAGTTCCGGCTCCTTGCAAGCCGAGGAAGACAACATATCCGATTTTCTGAAGGCCATAGACAGCAAGCGAACCTTGAAGAGTTTCGAGACGACCAAGCGGGGGGAATCAGCTACAAATCGAACCGTTGCGCAACTTTCAAGGTTTCACTTAATGAAGGATTCCAATGCTGCGCTTACGGATTCGATGACTTCATCTATACAAATGCAACGCTCGTCAAGCTCGTCCAGCAGGCAGCTAGCAAGCGTGCCTGGTGTGTCCATGTCGGCTTCATCATCTCCTAGTAAACCACACTCACCCCATACGCCTCACACTCCCGCTATCCCGTCAAGGTTAAGCGAGAACTCTGTTGCAGACGACTCTTCTCACGGCAGATTAGCATCTCGCAACCGCCGGCCCACTGAAACGGTTGTTCCTGAGTCAAGTAGGGAGAGTACGATCAGGCAAGAGGGAACAACTGCGATCGATATTCCCCTGTCGCCTAGGCTCGGTGCTTACCAGCGTCGATCCAGCTCCGTAGCGCAGCAGACCCGAGCTGTAATCGAAGACGACGCTGATTTACCCTTTGCGGCAGCCAATCGAAGCATCAGTCTAGGCGCAGATGACAGAGAGCCACCGACGATTAGCAGACTTCTCGGCCATCAGTTGGAGGCAGAGGCTACAGAGCAGCAGATTGGCACTGATGTCCTTGGAACTGCGGCAGAGATTCAACCTGCTGTGGCAGGGGCAGGGATCCCTCGAGATTCAGCTGACGATAACCCGTCAGACGGTTTTATGGCCGGCATTCCATCGAGCTCACCTTATGGAAGACGTCGATACACAGGCATGATGAACACGCAACACAGGCAAACCCCACCGCAGTCGTCACGAGGTAGTTTCAACGGCTCCTCAAGCAGGCTGGCCCGTGAGGATAACGACTCCATCAGTGATGAACCATTGGTGTTCGACCTGTCAGAAATGGATGCTCAGAGCAGACGGAGTCTTGAAGAAGGTCGAGGTGGCGGCCAAGTTGGTTCCGACAGAGGTGGCGCAGAGAGCCGAGGTGCCTCTAGAAGGGGATGGTAAACTGAAAAAAAATCTACAGATGTGGTACATATATACAAAGATCTTAAGTCTATGGTGATTGAACAGGAAGGCGAGGACACAGCGATGAGTCGGCCCCGGCGTCTAGGCATTGGTTGCAAGAGCACAGGTTTGGGGAGTTTATTTGGACAAGGGAAATACGCATATGTGTACCGGTTACATGAGATCTCCGGACTACGGAGCTGGAGAGCAAGAATGAATGACAACTGTATTTGGTGGAAATTTGATTTCAGGCTACGGTATATGGTATATACCTACACCAGGCGAGGATACATGTAGCCAGGCTGTATTTATTTGCGAGAGCTTAGTGTTATATAGCATTATAAAGTCCCCGCATTCATAGTCTAGCTGTGTGCCTTTCAAGTATTCTTCTGGAAATGTCCAAGGTCTTGGGGAGATGTTACCTCTACGGTGTGGGAAGAAGGGGAAGTTGCTCGGGTTGAAAAGCTGACAGAACCTACAGGATATTTGCCTTGGAGGGAAATATTGAATAACATCTGGAATATGACCCGCCAAGCTGGTCTGGTCAAAATAAGCGAGGAATGTTAAACTGGTTGATGTTCTAGCCCTTGCTTGGTCTATACTGCGCAGCCACATGTTCCTAATCCTGGCTCCAAGGCTGGGAGCCGTGTGGCGCATCTCAACAGTGCGAGCGTTTGAATCAACCCTCTCGCCGATCTGATATGCGCACACGTAATATGAAAGGAAAGTGCTGCAAATAGGTGTATTTGAGCGCTTGACACCGGCCAAGGATGTACGTGTACGTATTCCATTACGCACGGTTCTGCTCTCGTGTTCTCCCAGCAGTAGTCGTAGGGGGGGGGCGGGAAGTGGCGTGTGGCGGTGCAATACGTAACGCGGACATCATTAACGGGCTTGGTAGTAGGTGATCATGTAGAGGGATCAGGTAGCAGTAGCCGGCTGTATCCTCAGGCTATTCGTGGGCACTATAATAACCCCCCAGAAGCTCTGCCCCACCGCGGCGCCGCGTAGGTTCTGGCTTGATGACGAACTGTCTGTCCTGTGCTCCTGCTCCAGCTCCACCACCACCAACGCCCAGCTCAGCCTTTGTCGTTAACGCTGCAACTTCCCGCGACACAGCATTTGGGGCGCAGTGACTCTTCCGCAGCTGCCCACTTATTATCGACGGTGCCCTATCTACTAGATTGGCCGGCTCCTCGAAACTTGGCTCCTGCAACGTCAAATTGAGAGACAAGGCCATTCTCGCTCAGCGCAACCTACAAACGACCCCCAGACCGGAGCCCAGTATTGATTATCCAGCAAGCCAGCCATGTTCAGAGCGGCAGCCGCGGGGCCCTATGATGAGGCCGTCGGTAGGTGTTTACCTGGGGAGACCTCTCCCGATCTTGGGATCATTTGGATAAATGACCGCTGACTTGCCCACAGCGAAGGCGACCGACGAGAACGCCACCTCAGAGGACTGGGGCGCAATCCTCGAGGTGTGCGACAAGGTGTCGACCGATGCCAACGGACCCAAGGAGGTTGTTCAGAGCCTCATCAAACGACTAGCTCACCGCAACGCCAACGTACAGCTTTATACACTCGAGGTTGGTTGGCACTCCCAGTCTATCCCATTGCGCATACGAGATAGTAGACATGATCGCTGACAGCTGAGCTCTCTTATAGGTTGCCCACGCTCTGTGCCAGAACTGTGGCAAGAATGTTCATCGCGAGGTCTCCAGCAGAGCCTTCACCGATGCCCTTCTTAAGCTGGCCAACGACAGAAACACACACTCCCAGGTCAAGACGAAGATTCTTGAGAAAATGCAGGACTGGAGCGAAATGTTCAAGGACGACCCCGATCTTGGTATCATGTACGATGCCTATTTCCGCCTCAAGCAGAACAACCCGACGCTTCAAGCCCCGAGCGCCCCTCAGAAACAGGGCCTTACCGAAACCGACAGACAGAAGGAGGACGACGAGCTTCAGATGGCACTGAAGCTGAGTTTGCAGGAGGAGGAGCGGAAGAAAGCTGGTCCCTCCGGTTCGGGCAGTCAGGGCGAGGCTGGTGGAAAGCAAAAAGACAACACACCTCCCGCGCCGGTCCCTGCGGGCACTACCGCCGCCACTGTTAGCAGGGTTCGCGCTCTCTATGACTTCGCACCCTCGGAGCCAGGAGAGTTGGAGTTTAAGCGCGGTGATGTCATTGCTGTCCTGGAGAGCGTCTACAAGGATTGGTGGCGCGGCTCGCTCAAGGGGAAGACGGGTATCTTCCCCCTCAACTATGTCGAGAAGCTCACAGACCCGACCCCGGATGAGCTGCAACGGGAGGCACAGATGGAGGCCGAAGTCTTTGCAGAGATCAAGAATGTGGAGAAGCTGTTGACTCTGTTGAGTGCGTCCAATACGGCGCCCCGTGAGGAGGATAATGAGGAGATCTCAGTAAGCCCTTCTTTTCATCTTGAAATCTACAAGCAGTGCCAAAAATCGCTCCGAGCTTCGCTAACGCTTTTTATAGAAACTCTACCACCAGACACTTGCTATTCGCCCAAAGCTCATCAAGCTCATTGAGAAGTATTCGCAGAAGAAGGGTATGTTGAGCTAAGACTATCTTGAGAGACTCCTAACTAACATATATCTAGACGACTTTACACAGCTTAACGAGAAATTCATCAAGGCACGTAGAGATTATGAGGCACTGCTCGAATCATCCATGTCCCACCCTCCTCAGCATAGCTACACGCAATATGCTATGCGTCCTGCTATCCCAGGCCAAGGTTATCCTCAAGCCCCTGGTGGATATCCCCAACAAGCTCCACCGCAGTCTGAGCCTCAAAGGTTCTACACACCTCAACCTGGCCCAGGCGCTCAGCCCCAAGGTTAGTTTTGAGAACCTGTTCGGCCTTGTTTGAATATACCTGCTAACCAAGTGTTCAGACCATCCTCCATATCAGCCATCTTCACCACCTCCTAGCTTTCCCGCACAAAACCCCGTGTCTTCTGCTCCCTTCTATGTAGCAGGAGCAGAGGTTCCCTCAACTCACGCCAGTGTACCCCAGCCTCACCCTCCCGCTCCACAGTTTGGTGGTAGGGAGCAAGCTCCCGTCCACCCACAGAACACCGTCAAGCCTCCAGGGCCTATCAACCCATCATCTCCACCGCAGCATTATTCTGCTTATGGCCAACCTCCTAACCAAACCGCCGGTGGTCGTCCACCCAGCACATATGGCGTCCAAGAACTTGCCGCCTCAGGCTCCGGTTATGGCTCTCCCATAACGGGCGATCATCCCCAGCCGCCTACCAGCTTCTCTCCCAACCCCAATTATTCCCCGGATGACAGCAACCCTTATGCAGGGCCACCAAGCGGTCCCAGTGCACCACCACCCCCTTTCGTCCCTGGCCAGCCATCCTACCAAACTTACGGCACTTCAGCTCAAACTCCGCCTCCGGTCCCAACCGGCCAGCCTCCACAAGTGCCACCTGATAGTATGGCACCGCTCCCTCTTCAGATTGGTGGTCCTGCATATGATTCTCGCCAGAATCTACCCAGCCAACACGGAGGACAAACCCAGTACAAACCATATGTACCTGCGGGGGGTCTAGAAAACTCCGGACCAAGCGCCCCTGCACCAAACGACTACTACCATAGCGGTGCGTATTAGTTACCGAAGTGTTCATCAAAAGAAGGATGTACATGTAGGAGCCTCTGGAACGAGTAGAACTATTGTCTTGGTGGATATGGGGACAATTTGTGCTTGCGTGTCATGAGCAATCGGTTCCTTCTGGTGCTCTGGGGAGTTTGTTATTATAGTATTATTTCTTAGCATTTACGTCTAGCACGCCTCCTTGGTGGGTTTGATAATGAAGTTCTTGATGACTACCTGCTGATTGCATTTGTAACCTGTGGATAGAGCAAGTGTGCAAAAACATTCTCAAGGCAATTGATAGACGCGCATGATCTTATAACCGCATGAAAATCCTAGCCCTCTCAGTAGCCCCAAATTAGAGGACATATCTGGAAAGTACTATGACTCTCACTACTTGGGGGTTCCCAACTGGATGATGGAAGGCAAACGGGCTCTTGAGTTTATGGGCCCCTAATGTCTGGGCCAACATTGACATGCCAGTAAAGAAGAGTATGGAAATTCAGTATTTATAGTAATTACGACCTGAACTTCTGGACTGTAATAGTATGGTAACGCACGAACAGCAAGCACAACAACAATTACTCAAGCAGGGCTTACTTTGATCACGGAAAGCCACTGTCCTGGTTGAGATGGACACTAGTGGGCTACGATTAGTTCACAGGGTTGGTCTAACATGTGGCATTCGTAACTTGAAATCATCATTCGTCATTGTATACTCCATCAGCTAGATCGTCTCCTCAACTCATGATTACCCTCCGCATCATCGTACCCCCTCTCCTTGATGAAGTCGTCGCAAAGAGCAGTCTTCTCCACGGCAACCCGTTCCATGCCCGAGACACACCCCTTGCCTGGTCCCGGGGTGGCAATCTCATCCACGCCCCAGGATCTGCCGATGAACATGAACGGCAGGACGCTCGTCCTCCAGAGCCAGCCGTTCTGATGGCCGTTGACGACGATGGTGACCGCCAGGAAGATGATTGAGGCGAGGGCAGCGGTCGCCGGAAGCGCCATCCAGGCCCAGTTCACATGGATATAGGTCTCGGTATGCATGACGGTGCCCTGGACGTGGGTGAAGTTGCTGTTGCTGCCTGAGCGTAGTCTAGCCGACATGCTCGACGCGGTGTACTCCATCAGGCTGGAGAAGTTGGCCGTGTTGTACAGGAGCTGCGCGATGCTAAATTCCGTCTCCACCGAGTTCTGGAAGTCCTGGTAGATGAGGGATGTAGAGAAGAGGGACTGGAGCATGCGAGCGATGCCGGAGGAATCGATCGCGTTGATGAGGTAGGAGGTTGTATTCTCTTTGTCGATGACTGTCATCTTGGGTACACCGATGAACTTACCCCAATTGAGGAGTTCCCTTGAGGTCTCGGAAATCCGCGAGCCATTTGCGAAGATGCGGTTCTCATTGTAAGTTATCTTGCACCAGTAGAAATGGCACTCGTCAATTTGGGCATTGTAAATCTTCGCCGAGGCTGTCATGTTTTTGGGGTCCTGCGCTCGAAGCATGGCGACGCTGCGGATTATCGCCGGAGTTCCGTCGTCCATGTTGCTGCCAAAGCTAGCTGATGTGTCGATATATGTGGCATAGTAGGTCGCGCTCCCCGCGGGCCCTCTCTTCGCCGAAAGTTCATTCTTTGCAGGCGTTGTGTAGTTGCAAACCTGGCCCGTTGTCGCCTGCGTGCCGCTGCAGTTCTTGGTTGTCGAGGCTGTTACGTCCTGGCAGGAGGAGCAGATGCTTAGGGAACTGGCGACAGGCCACGAGCAATTCGACGTCGAGCACTGTTCGTAGGCGCCTGTGTCGATGGTCTGCGAGAAGATGCCGGCCAGAATGGCGCCCTGCATAGACTGATCCATGACCTCTGTGGATTGTATTTGTTAGTGGCAGGAGAATGAGTAGAGGGGAGAGTGGTGAATTACCTCGTCTCCAAGTGCCGGACTTGGTGATAGCCCCGGTGTCATAAGCAGTGGCCACAGCCAGACTCGCAGTTCCTTGGCCATCGCCGAGCTCGATTTCCCGAATGCGGAAGCTGATAATCTGCTGCGTGAAGGGCTCAAGTGCCAGGGCCACGATGGTGATGAAGCAGCCCACCGCGGTCAAGGCGGACACTTTCGATCTTCCCCTTCTCAGTATCAGACCGTGTAAGAAGAGTAGCGAGCCAAACGGCCCGCGGCTCGCATCGTCATAGGCCTGCATGTCGATGAGGCGTCTGGGGGACTGGGAGAAGTGAATCCATTTGAGCTGCGATATGCACGCCGGGATAACCGTCATCAACGCGGCCTTGGAGAGAGTGGAAAACACACCGACCAGTGCGTTGGGCCCGATCGGCATCCTCCACGAGGAGACCGATTTGCCGGAAATGAAGGCCAGGACAATAATTACTGACGCGAGGCACATGAGTGCCCAGACGAGGGCCAGCGTCTCCCATATCCAAGTCTCCTCGAGCCGTTCCATCATCCCCAGCTTCAATTCAGCCTTTTCGCCATGCCTTCCTGGCGGCGTCCTCACCCGTCGCTCGTCTTGGAGAGTCCAGATAGAGTCGTTGGGAGAAGGCAGCACCTCAGTAACCCGAGAGCCTGCCTTGGACAGACCACGGGGCCCTCTCTCGCGCCTCATCGAGTGTGGTTCAGGCTCCACGGGACTGACGGGTTCATAACTCGGATTTGTGACTGGCGCCATGGCGAGTATAACGTTGCAGTATTCAGCAGCGAGTGTCACTGGCTGTTATGTATATCTGGCATCAAATGTCGCACCCAGACACCAGCCCCTCGGCCAGCTGTAGGGCTGGGCGAGCGTACAAAAGATCAAATGCTGCATGCTGCGTCTCTGGTGTGTCCCAGGTCGATCGGGGCTTGCGACAGGGATGCCTCGTTTCATTTCATCCATTTCATTGGGCGATTCAATCAAAACGATGCAGCCGCCGGCACGTAACGAAGCGCCGTTGGATTGATTGGATCTTTTCCGCAGGTTTAGCCCCCTCCCTTAGCCACGAGAGTGAGAGGAACACAAAGGCATACATACCGCTCGGGATTAAAAATAGATACATCCATCTGGGGAGCAGGGGCACTTAAGCGCCTGTCTCGTAAAATGGTGTTTCGCCCGCGACGCCAAATGGAGATATGGGCCTAGCTGCAGTGTATGCGATTGCCTGGCTTGCGTGTTTGCGGGTGATCGTCTCTCGGGGGATCGTCATTTTAGTTAAATCCGAGGAAGGTAATGCCAGCGCATCTTTGGTTTGAGGCGCTTCTGCGGATATCTTTGGGAGCAATATCGTGAGATGGTCCATATGCTGCATGACGTGTGACGTCGAAATCTCAACAACTGCGATGTTTGTGAATGATGTGCAGAACCTGGGCAGTAGCGATTGCCTATTTTGGACGTAGGTCAATGAAACCGGACGAGGTTTGTGTTTTGGCCGAGCAATAATATAACAATAGTAGGTAATAGTCACCGTCTTTGACAACCTCGATGACCGTGCCCAAACATTCATTTAAATCCATTTTCGTCAAGCTTGAGAGCTCGTCTAGGTAGTCTCATCTAATAGTAGATTCTAACCGTTCTTCTCGTGAGTTTCACCTCCAGGGTGCAAGGCAAACCAGCTCCTGTCTGGAGTCTAAGTATGTGTCCCCAACGCCTAGACCCATCTACTCTATCAAGAGAATTCAAAACATCCGATCCTGTCATCATCATAACTCATCTTGCCAGCAGTAGGCAGTTTCGGCCTGTCAAACCAGCGAACGATACCAAAAGATCCATGTACGCCAAACAGCCCGAAATATCAACCAGTGGAGTAAATTACCATCGTCGACCATACACTTCGCTCTCCTGTCGCTGAAGACCGGCTGGCTTCTTTCTCATGACGCTTCCGGCGTCTCTCGCAGCCTGGCGCACGTCACCTGTGCTGCCAGGAACGTAAGCATTTTCCTCGGCGTGGCTTCCTGGCTTGAAGAGCTCAATAATCTCGTTGAGACCGAGCTTGAAGGCTCCCTTCTTCATGCCACCCTCGATGGCCTGCTCAGCGAGGAGACGCTTCTTCTCTTGGAGGTCGACGATACGCTCTTCGATGGTATCCTTCGCCGTGAGCTTGTAGACTGTGACGTCCACGGTTTGAGTGAGACGATGTACCCGGTCGATGGCTTGCTCCTCGATGAACTGCGATGAAGGGTTAGAAACAAGATAACTTGCTTTGACTTGAATCAAGTGATACTTACGGGATTCCAGAAAGGTTCAATGATAACCACTCTCGTTGCAGCTGTCAAGTTGAGTCCCAGACTACCGCACTTCAAACTGCAGAGTAGAATTCGGGTCTTGTCGTCCTTACGGAGACGGCTGAGACTCTCCTCGCGCTGATCATTTTTCATGCTACCATCGTATCTCGTAAAGACAAGGCCCTCATTGTACAGGAAGGGCTCGACAAGGTCCAGCATTGAGGTGAATTGTGAAAAGACAATGAACTTGTGCTCCTTGGCTTCGTTCTGGAGAATCTTGATGAGCTCGCGAATCTTGGCTGAGGCTACAACATCAACACCACGGGCACCGCGACGGATATCCCAGTCATCCTCGTCTTCATCCCCACTTGAGGCCTCGGAGTCAGAATCTTCGGAGTCGGAATTTTCGGAGCCTGATTCTTCAGAGTCTTCATCTTCTTCTTCAGTCTCCTCCGTTTCGGGAATCGCATTTGCCCTTGGCTTCGCTTTAGGGGCGGGCTTGTCCTCTAGCGTCTGAGAAGCCATCTGCTTTGTGAGAGCCGAGATGGAAAGTAGAGAGTCGTCGTCGCTCTCTTCTGCAGTTGAAGTATATCCCTTTTCTTTCCTGGCAGTTTCATCATCAACAACGAAGCTGCTCAGGTTGCTCTTATCCTTGTCAGCGTCATCTTCCTCCTCCTCTGAATCATCAGACCCAATCCAGTCGCCGCCTCCCTCAGCGTTCTCGTCTTCCTCACCTCCGGCCTTGCCCAGATTGGCGCTTCCACGCTCGTCTTCGGGGACAAGCCAGCTACCGGCTTCTTCCTCGTCCTCATCGTCGCTATCAACAATAGCGTTGCGGTTCTTCGGCCGACGGGATGTCTTCTTGATAGGGGAGTCGGCCTCCTCCTCCTCCTTCTTCTCCTTGGACTTGGAATTGGACTTGGATTTGGATTTGGATTTGGACTTGGTTTTCTTCCTTTTCTCCTTCTTTGGCTTCACATGGGTCGTGCTCACTTCGCTCTGGAATAGGGCGAGATCTTCTTGGCAGGCCGAGCATGTCTCCCTTCCGCTCTTGTTGTCATCATAGCCAAGTTGCAAGCCACATACATTACAGCTTCTGGATGCTAATCCCATGCCGGCGAACATATCAGCCATGGCATCGACATCAGCATCTTGAGAGGGCTTTTGGCTCATATCCGCAGAGAGAGCATCGTTGTCTAACTTGCCAGCAATCAACCTGGGATGGTTGCATGCCTGTCTCATTCGCAGTAGCAGGGTCAACGCGCTTGCGTAGTTCACCTTGCCGCCCATCATAGCCTCGATACTCCTGTCCGCACGAGCTTCGAGTTTATTGTAGAATCTACGCTCGGCAGCAGACAGCTCAGTTTTGACGGAGACAACGTTTCGCTCGGTCACCTTGAACCCAGTCGACGAGGCCTCGCCCTCCTTGGATGGCTCACCGCCAGGGTTTAGAGCTCCCTTCTCTTTCAGAATCTCCTTGGTCCGCCTCTTCATAAAGCATCGAAGTAGACTGTGTAGTCTCCGAATGGCGATGTGGCCTTTGCCGTTCTTCAGAGGGTGGTCAATTTGTGCTTTCCATTCTTTGAGATCATCATAAGGCTTGATGCGGAGGAACTTGACCAGGGATTGAAGCTCGTCCAGGTTGTTCTGCATTGGTGTGCCAGAGAGGCACCACCGGTATTCAGAACGCAGAGCGTAGCAGGCTTTTGTTGCCTTGGCATTGCGGTTCTTGATCGTATGGGCTTCGTCAAGGACAACTCGCCACCAGTGGAGGCCGAAGCAACCCGTCTTCGGGCCGTCATCTGCTGGTGAGGAGTTTCCGTGTTCAGACACTAGGATCTGGTAGGTCGTCACCACAATGTCGTGCGAGGCGAGTTCTTTGAAGCTCTTAGTACGGTTGGGGCCATGGTGTACGCAGACCTTGAGCTGGTGCTGCTTGGCAATCTTTTCGTTGATCTCAGCCTCCCATTGCCTGATGAGAGCTAACGGCGCCACGACGAGGGTTGTCTTGTTGATACCTTCGTAATGCTTCTTCCACGCCTTCTCTTCGGGTTTAGGCTTCTGGTTGTTAAGAATGAGCGTGATTGTCTGCAAGGTCTTGCCCAGACCCATGTCGTCGGCGAGGATACCACCCTTGGGCACCTTGCCTCGCTTGACTGGGCCAAGCTCACGGCCACGCATCCACTCTACACCTTCCACTTGATGCGGCAGCAGCTTGACCTTGAGACCGGGTACAGTGCCTGTCTTCGGGTCGACAATGCCTGGTCTCTCGTTGCCCTCTTCCTCCTTCACTTCCTCCTTCTTCACATCTACATTCTTCGCCTTTTCATCCTTTGCCTCGTCAGATGAGTCTTCTTCCTCATCATCCATGACACCTTCGAGGAGGTCCTTGAGGTCTGCGCTGGCCTTGTTGGGATCCGTATAGAATACGTCGTCGCGGCCATTCCTGGTGGAGGAAGAGGGTGGGGCAGAGAACACATTGGACTCAAACACTGCCAAGGGAGGAGCCTTCCTATCCTTGTACTTTGGTGCCTGCGGTTGTTGGATCTTTCTGGCATCTAGGTGGTGCTCGGGTCTGGTCTTCTGGTGGATGAAAACGCTGCTAGCCTTTTGCTGCCGCGAAGAGAGCATCTGGGGATGGCCGAATCTAGGCCGGTCCGTCGAGCCGGAGGGGTGGGTAGGATCTTGTAAGCTCTGCAGAACAGAACTCTTGACGGAGGAGAGGCCTTTCATGGCGCTAATAACGTCAAAGTCGTCGTCGTCGTCTGGAGTCTGGTCGCGTCGGATGTTGTCCTGGCTTGACGACATGGTGCGTAGTGGCGCCGACGCCTTCGGGGGCGCACGCTCGTTGACCATGGCGGGCCGTAGAGCCTGCAAGACAAGGGCTTTGGGGAGAGATTCTGCGGTGCTGCCAAAACAAGGAGTAGTGGTATCCTGGTCTCTGGGCGCTCGAGCGATGGTTCGTTTTACTTGTCTCGGAGATTTTGAGAAGTCTGGCTTCTGGGACGAGAAGAGGGTGTTGGTGGGTTTATATGCGAATTTGGCACCTGGCTTGTTATTCGGATTGTCGTGGTTACCCATAGGGCGAGAACGGCGAGCGTGCAGTTCGGTGTTTGGGGGGGCCCTCCATGCACTTTAGCGATGTACAAGTCATGTAGACGCTACAAAAACTGGTGGTGTTTTGGGTCTGGGTTCATGACCTCATTGGCCCAGCAACAGGCCCTTGCTGCCCGGTCCCCCGCACCAACAGAGCCTTATCCTTATCGGCGGAGACGCACAGTGTTATCAGTCAGGGGCGGGTCCGGCGCCTTAACAGAAGCTAACGTCCAACGTCCAGCCTTTGAGGATATGGGAAATGCCCAATATCGACTCTCCTACAATGCCAGCGAGGCTCAAAAAATGTAACAAGAGGGCTACTCAAATTACTTACGGGAATGCAGGGCACGTAGATTTCATGTGATGGCTGGCCGC